AATCACAATATTTTTCATTAAGTGTTGATGAATCAGTACATCCTGAATCCTCTTGTATTGAAGGTATATATTTAAAAAAAATTCAGAAAATGTATCAAAACTAGTTTCTTCACTTAGATCTGTGTTGTCATCGTGGTCTTATTCCTCTGAAGTGTATATCCTTAAAGCCACATCAGAATCTTTGTTCTCAAATTTCAGAAATTATAACTGATGGAATTCAAAGAAACCTTAGAAATAATGAAAATCTTGCACAATATGCAAAGGAATAGGAAGAATAAGTCTCAAAATGAAGCATAAGAACAATGTGAAAATTATTATGTTACTAATATATTAGCATGGCTTCTTTTATCAATAATCTTATGGCATTAAATTGTTTTTTATGCAAATTTCAACCATGAATCAACTAATTCTCTGGGAATCTCCATTTTCAGTTGAAAAGAAAAAAAAAAAAGCTAAAGCTAGTAGCACTGGAACTCTGAGAAAAGTTGTCTGAGAATAGTCTGCAATCTCATAGTTCATAGGAGAAATTAAGCAGAGTTGGCAAGATGCAAAGAATTTTAGAACAAGACTGACTTTTGAAAGGACTTCTGTATTTCCCAGTGGAAGAAGCAAACAGTTGAAATGGTCTGGGAAAGATTTTTCTTTAGAGCATATTCAATCACATTAAAGGATAATTGCTGCTTCTTACTAATAACTATGAACCACTTGGAGGAGCATCAATGCATCTGGAATACAGAGGCAGTTCTGAAAATACTTGAACTCCAGCACAGGGAGGACTTGTACCTCTAGGGGCAGTCTTTTGCTTTTGCCACTTAACACCTAGGTCCTGCTTCTTCCTTTAGAGTCTTTGCAATATTATTGCATTTTGTAAAATAGAGTTCTTCAAAGTATGTGAAGTACCTTTCAGACAAGAGAAGTTTTTTTCCCAAGTGAAGTTCAGGCGCTGTAAAGCATGCAGTATAATTTTGCTTTGTGGCTTCAACCACACTTGGCTGAATGCTACAACTGCATCAGGTATTCTCAGTTATACCTCCAAAAGTTTATTTTGAAGGACTGGCTACATAAGTAGAGACTGTCCAAAGTTTATGTTAGCTTTAAGTCATTGATAGTGTCAAGGCCATTTTATTGCAGCCAAAAGAAACTTCAGGCTGCTCTACTTCCACTGTTTACCTCACAGTGATTGTAGCAAGTCACAGATGAAATTAGCATGCTGGAGAGGTACTTTCCATGGTGCAGTGGCACCCCACCCTTCTCTCTTTGAGGCCTGTAAATCCTAATAATATTTTGTTCCATCTAACTTTATTTTATATGCAAAATTGTTCTTGCTCTATATAATACAAATTGATAACATGAAAATAGCTGTTAAACTAAATATATTAAATTTTTATTTACCAGTCAGGTAAATCAAACAGGACAATTTTGCCATTCCTAAAAGTCTAATCCTTTTAATTAATTGGTTTCTGTTTCAACATCATTCTGGTATAAAGGCACCCTAATTGCATATTCCAGGCTCTGAAGACTGCTTTTTTTCTCTTTTATTTTTCTCTTCTTCTGCTTTCATAAAATAACAAACTTACTGTATTCTGTATTTGTTTTAAAATTGTATTTACTCCAGACAATTCACATATTTATAAATGACAGCTTAGAAAATAAGATACAAAAAAGATATGGGTTTGTGATGCAAAAGAATATTTCCATTTGAGTTTATACAGCACTTTCTTTCCCTGTTCACCAGATTTAAATTAGTTTTATAAGAGTGCATTTACCTTACGCATTTAACTACAGTGGCATTACAGAGTATATAATAAGACTTAGTAAGCACTACCACGACATTTTCAGTTTCTTATCTTATACAGTAGCAAATTTGTATACTAGTCCCTATGTTGGGGAATTTGTTTGGAGACTGTTAGTCTCCTCCCAGTCTCCAGAAAATAGACAAACAGCTCCTGTGTCACAGCAGTATTCCTGTTCCTCAATCATTGCAACATACTCATGTTCCCTTCTCTTGCTTTCCTGCCAGCCTTATGGCTCTGGCTAAAAGCTTCAACCCTGTGTCAGAGCACACTCTGGCCAGATGGTGAGGGTGCTTTCCCTGTCAAGACAAGACCAAAAAAGACATGAGTGGTAGCATCACCAGCAGAACTTCATGTCTTAATGCTCTGCAGCAGGGCACTCGGGAACCCGAGGGAAAAGAAACATCTACTAAAAGTCAGGGCCTAAGTTCCAGAGAGGGCACAAATTCAGACACACCAAACATGCTTTGAGCACCAAAAGTCCCTTGCTCACTAACAAGACTCTTCAGAAGTTAATGGAACCTTCTCCTCTGGCTTTCACACAGACTGTCTCAGGAGGCTTGGATCATCCCCCTGGAATTTATAACTTAGATTGCATTGGTTTATTTTAAACCTGTATCTTGTGATTCAGATGGGTGAACATGTTTTATATGCTTGCAATGACTAAAACTCCTGATTTATTTTCATTGGTGCTCTCCTCTTTTATAATTTACAAAAATTAGCAATATCAATGACATGTGTTTTATTAAACAAGCAATATACTCTTTTTATGACATTTCTGAGCCTCCCCCTAACGTATGGAAACTTTTTGTATCTAAAGAATTTTGGGTTGGGAGTTCCAGAGCTTCACATAACACATACTGCATGAAGAATAATTTTGGTTTATTCTAAATTGTTCACCAGGTAACTTGAACTTTAGGTAAGTTCACCTTAATTTTTTAATATAATTTTTTTTAATATTCTCTCAACGATAATCTTGTTTACTAAGAGTGGTATTCACAGATGCTGAATTTGGGAAAGAGTTCCTTTCATCAGATAGATACTGATCTAATGAGGTGGCAATGACTACAACATGGCTTCTTCCAGTTAACTTAATTCTGGACAAACTTCCTCAGTGTCTGACCTAATAGACTGCCAATCATACAAGTCCAGGAAGATGCACCACAGTTCTTACTTTCACAAGCTATACAGAAAAGAAGAAAGAAGTACACTTCACTTATCCCATCTTTCACCTGTAACAATAAACAGTGAAGAAAATAGTCCAGATCAGTCTGCAATTTCCTTACAACTGGGAGCAAGCACCTTCACCTCAGCTGCCTATTAGGTTATGTGAAATAGAAAGAGAAGGAAAGAACCCTGTATTTTCTGCCAACTGCCAGTGAAGGAGGAATGAAACATAATCTTTTTGTGGATGGAGCAGACAGAGGTATTCCCTATCATCCTCATACATGTCCTGAAGAAGTTGAACAGTTTCACATGCTTGGCCTTGCAAATAGCATCTATTTAATTCCTGGTAATACTAAAGTTTAAAAATTTTTATTTCTAAAAAAGTAATGACTTAATAAAATCAGTTAATTTTGAACTATTACTTTTCATTTTTTGGGGGGGCTTTAGTTCTTTAATGTCAAATATAATGATTTAGTGTAGTTTTATATAGGCGCAAATTCACAGAGCACAGATCCCATGCAAATATCTTGAAAATACATTTTATTTTGCTCACAATACAATCAGAACTGAAGATATATTTAGATTGGATTTAATGACTAGCCAAGCTATGTACCTGGCTACACCTGAGCTTTCCCTATTATTCATCTGAAATCACTGTATAAAAGCCCAATCAAGAGAATTTATGGGCTACTTCAGGTGGAAATTTGGAAAAAAGCATGTGTGGTATATTCATTAATCAATGAGAGTTATTTTTACAGTCTTGTTTTGTGCCAGATACCAAAATTAGATCTATAAGGGGGAAATCTTCCAATTCATAAGGAGCCCTACTGAAATTGCTTAAGTTCAGCCAACAGATTGCACTCATAACCTTTCATCCCACAACTTCTAGAAAGCCACAACTGTCATCAGAAATAACTTGCATTTGTGAAATTCCATGTTACTGAATGTTTCTCACTAAGTAAAGTCAGAGTTGTACATGTATTTAAACAGATCTAACATGTAAATTTCATTTGTGTGAGTCAGACTCTGAACAGGCATTTTTCAATGTGATTTGAATCGTATACTTGCTAAAGAGTGAGTATAAAGTATTATATTCTGTAGTAATGCAATCAGGAAGTATAATAGGAAGGAGTCCAGCAGAGAACTATTAAAATGTCATTAATTTCATGAAAACCCTCTTTTGAAAGCTTGTGAGGAATTAATTTCTTTTAATCTATTCACCAGAAGCCAATAATAGGAAGTTTTAAGTCAGTAACTTCGTAGATAATTGAAAATAAGTACAAATAGATTTACTATCAAAAAATATTTAAAAAATTAATTTGGCAAAAGCAATGTATATCATGTTGATTGCAGCAGATGACTGTAGTGTAAATGTACTCACAGTATATAGAGTTCACAGTACCAGTTATTAAAGACTGAAACTAGCAAGAACTGCGCTACAAAGAAAACACATTCTTAATTGTAGATATAAATTAGTTCTAAATTTCTCTATAATGAAACCTGTTAAATGTGCAGCAATAACTTCAAACTTCACTGTTTTGCTTGATATCATCTATCTTGAAAATCTTCTATAACATGGAGTTTTCTCGACCCTCAAATTAATTAGTTTGAGCTCTACTTTTATTCTTAATCTCTCCTGAACCTTCTGGTAGCAGCAAATTCTTATGGAGAGCACAGAATTGAATAAAACAGCTGGACTAAACTAATGTGTTTGAGGGAGGAAAAAAGCTTTGCAATTTATTAATGTATTCAAAAGACTGTTACAAAGTTTACAATTTAATTATTGGAAGATTATAGAACTGCTTCACTGCTTCTGTACTGTGTTAAATAAACTGTACGTGCAAGGAGTAATAAATGAAATTGTTAATTTCAGTGCATCCTTAGGGAATAGCAAGAGGGGGAGTTTACATTATTTAGAGCTCCAAATGGATTTGAGTTTATATACAGTAATAAATCTTAACTACATTGTTAATTAACCCTGCCTCAAGCCCCTTTTTGCCTTAGGAGTTGAAAGATACAGTGTCTGTTAGGATAACTCACCATTCATGTTCTTAAAGATGCTTAGGACTGGGAGAATTTGGCGATAATAGGGCACCAAGGCCTCCCCCACCATTTCAGCTGACACCACCAGGTGCTGGATGACTTTCAGTGTGGTGCAGAGGACCTTTCGGTTACGAAGGTTCAGTGCATCTGTGATGCAAAAAGAAAAGGCAGAAATCAGAATTAATTTCTAAACTGCAAAGGGAGGGGGAAGAGTCCTCTAATGGACAAATTTAATTAAACTATACTCTGTTGGGAATTGTAAGTGGGCCTTTATTAGCCCAGCTTAGAAAGATTCCAAAGATGGATTGCAGTCCTGATGTTACAAAACACTGACTTGTCTGATTGTTATTTGTTCCCACAATTTGTGCTGACTCTTCAGTAACCTAAAGAATGCAGCTCATTATTCCTTCATGCTGCCTGTATAATACTGGCGTGGTCCAAACAAATGAAATATAAATGTTCAGTAAGTACCACTTGGGGCCAATGGAACTATACAACTGCAAGACAACCTGCAAAGATTGACAACAGATGCATTCTAGTGCAACAATTGGTGTTTGTATGTTTGTACTAATTTATTTCATGATCATTTTATTCATTCAACTGACAATTCCTACTTATTCTGGGAATCAGTACAATGAAGCAAATGTTTATAGGAAAAAAAACCCAACAAACCGTGTAGGCTTTTTTCAAAAGAAAAACATTCTAGGGAAAAAAAAGGTTTTGTCTAGCCTACTTAGATGTTTCTCTTAGCTTTCAGTGTCATGCTTCTAATCTTATGACACTAAGACATTTCACAAAAACTTTGTTTCTTCTCTTTTAATTTTACTAAAAGCAAGTACTTTGCATTCTCACTGGCAATTAAAAATGAGTCATGCTTGAAATACATGTATTTTTTCCCTTGCAAATCCATCTACTTATAAAATAATTTCTGAAATTATGCAGCTGGATAAATTTGTCAGCAGTTGTCAGATTTGGTATGATCTTATATTTTGGTCTAATACTCCAGTGTTCTGCCCAGTTACATAGACAGAGCTCATATTCATTACTATGTTTTATAAACACAGACATATATAAATATGTGATCCAAGACACCATAACAAAGTATAAGAATTTAGAAAAAATTGTAGCAAAGAACACAACAAAATTTGAAGAGGAGTTATTAGTAACTTCTTCAAGAATTGCCTCTTCAAATGGAAGTATTAGGATCAAAGATATCTCTACTTGTTGCAAAGGTTTTGGAACTAGATTATCTTTAAAGGCCCCTTGCAACCCAAACCATGATTCTGTGACCCTACAATTCTACAATTCAGTATTTCCTGTGCTGAGTTTTATCAGTGCACAGGAATGCCATTTCATAGGGAATGAAGCAGCATTTTCACAAAGGAGCAATGTCAGTTTTTCCATCTCTCTAAGCAAATGCATTGTACCCCACCTGCTTTTGCTGCTTGTCACATGCCTGCTGATGTTAAAAATCAGAGGTAGATCTCCAAACCAAGGGCAGGGCAGAGTCTTTGTGTGAATGGACAGAGACAATTCTCAAAAATCAACCAGTAAATAATATCCCTTCATGCCTCTTGGCATGCTTCTGAACAACATACTGAACCTACTGTTACAAACCAGAAAGCCCAAGATATAAAGGTACTATTACACCTCATCCAAGTTAAAGGAGTACTGCTAAATGGATATACAGACTGAATTCCACATTACTTATTTTCTACAATAGTCCCTATTGTAGTCACCAGGCTGCACTTAATTTCATATTGTCTCTGAGCATAATAATGTGTGAACAGGAAGCCCAACAATGCAGCATGCTCACATTAAGTTCCAGCAAAGAGGCTGGCTGTTCCAAATCATGCTTTTGGGGATGGATGCTCTAAAGCTTCTTTTGCAAAGAGAGATACCCAGATACAATTTTAAAGATTGAGTCCAAGTCTCAGTTAGGGAAATACTCTGTTAGGGAGAAACAGGTATTATTCATTTTCATTGAAAAGTGGTTTGAAGAGCAAGTGTTGGGATTCCAATGTATAGATCTATTAATTACTAACTTGTCATACACATAAATAATAGCTAACTTAAGTAATAGGGAAATTATCACTAACACTGGCAATTTTCAGTACAATAGTTATGTTATGCATACAAGCATGAATGAATATTTATATTCAATTTTATGAATTATTACAAAATAGTAAAATTAATTATTCATACACACACATTAATTAAGAGATATAAAAATTAATCATTGATAGAAATCATTGTTTCTTAATTTTTAACAAATTATACCCACTCCCAGGAATAGTACTTCTGGACTCTAGAAGCTGTCCCAGACTGTAAGAAACCTTATTTCTAGGCATGCAGAGTATGCCATGTAAGTGGATATGGCTGTCCAAACACTCCTAGGAAAAACTTGGATGGATCCCATCTGATGCTATAGACTTGTCTCTGTCCAAGTGGAGCAGCAGGTACCTGACCATTTCTCCTTGGATTATGGTGGCTTCATTTGTTGGCTCATCTTTCAGCACATGGGGAAAATTTGCTGTTGAATCTTTAAGATTTTCTCCTTGAAGAGCATCCAGCCTTCCAGGACCCCACTGCCCTTCAGGACTGCCTCCCAAGGGTCTCTGTCTCCTGAACAGGCCAAAGTCTGCTCTCTGCAAGTCCAAGGCAGCAATTGTACTGACCTGTCTCCTTACTGCTCTGATAACGGATAAGTCTATCATTACATGAACACTGTGCCCAAAAAGACCTTCAGCCACCATATCACTCATATGGATCTCTATCCCCTACCTCTACCAAAACATGACTGAATGACTTCACTGGCACTGTCTCTTGAAGAATGGCATGCTGCACCCAGGCTTATCTCTAGTGAGCCCTGTTTGATTCCTTTCCCACTCCAAATCTAATTGAAATCTCTTTCAATGAACACTGCTGTCTCCTGTGCAGAGATCCTTTTCCCCTTCTGACACAGTAGACCTCATGTCATTTAAACTAATCCATGATCAAAAGACTCCAAATCCTGCGAGTGACACCAGCCTCAGAGCCAGATAATGATCTGCTTGCTCCTCCTATTTCTTTCCTTATCATTCTCTGCAACTAGGAATGTAAAAGAACTGCTTCCACTCCTGATCCCTTAATTGGTTGTCCCATTGCCTTGAAGTCTAGGTTGTCCCCAGACATCAGATATCTTGTTTGGACTTTATCACTGCATGCCTAAAAAATAAATAATGGATAATAATCTGAGGGCCATTTGAGGGGAGAAAACTTTCTTTTCACATCTTTAACCCCTGCAGATCCCAGGGAGGCATCAGACCTTCACAAGAAGTGGCTCCAGTCTGCATATTGAGCCTTCTGTTAGCTGCTGATGGAACTCTCCTATTAAAATGACCAGTTGATTCTTTTTTTATGGAAGCAGTTTCGATGCAGGGCACAGGTCAACTTAACCGTTGTGACATCTTCATGCTAGATGAACCATTATGCTTGATGCTTTTTGGTACCATTTGCAGAGTTTCATACCTATTAGGGCACCTGGAAAGCTGGGGCAGTCCCAGAGGAGATGTGCTTGTCATGCCAGCAAAGGAACTTGTCACCATTGTCCCCTATCTCTTGAGTAATTGTTTTTCCAGGTGGAGAAAGACAGGGAACCTGTGTCTTCTCAAAGAAGACAGAGTACAATTTCAGCAGTCTCTCTCTCTCTCAATCTCAATCCACCTCAGCCTACCCACTTCCTCCTGGAGCTCTGTCACTAAACTAAGGAGTTCCTCTGCCTGGTGCACCTCCCATAGCTGTGCTACTGCTGCCTGGTACTGGTATGAGAGTAGGGCACACGCTGCATTCTGCAGAAGTATGGCTGTAGATGGTAATGGGAGAATCAAACAGACTGAGAATTTGAGCCCAAATCCCTTTAAATTGCAGAAATTGGCAGTGTGTGTTAGGAAAACACTTATAAATATAAAAGGAAAGATCATTATGACTACAGAACTGTTGTTATTCTTCTTAAATATTTGGACTGCACCATGCATAGCAGTCAACCAGCCAACCCTGCCCCAAAGATACACCACTTTCAAATACCTGTTTATCTTTTAAAAATCTGTTAATTATTTTCTGTGTACTACTATCACTACAAACCATTCTCTCACATTAATAAAAGGAAGAAAATATTAATGCAGTATATGAAAAAAGCACATTCCAATCCATTGGAAAATATTGGTGGTATCCAGAAGTTGACAGAGATTGAGGATAGCATTCTTGCACAGGAATAATTCCTTACAATAGGAATCTTGGTACACCACAGCTATACAACCCAAATGAAGGAAAGATGCATAATATTCAAAGTATTCCAATTTAGAAAACATTTTAGGCTGTTGCCTTTTGGCCTAGAAGTCTGCTGTAAGATATGGATCTTCACAATAAAAGCAAAGTCCATAACTGGTTTACCTCTCAGTTAAAGATACCTTTCTGCTTCCTAACGATTTTGAGAGGACTTTCCCCCCTCATTGGTACATATTTTCTTTGGTCCTTTAGACTACTGTAACTTTCTCTTAAGCAGCAAAAAAAACTACAACCCAATAAATTTACTCTGTTGCTTGGTAGCTTTCATGTTTTCTACTTTAATGGCATAAAATGGAAGATATTGCTTCTGATTTAGGATACGCTTTTCAAAGAAATCCTCCACCTTAAATAACTGCCCAGCTGAAGTACACAATGAAGTATTTTTCATTCAAACATACATTATTTTGTACTGCTATAGCTTTTCCAAACAAATATTTTCTGAAGTTCATAATAATTTTCTTAAATAAAAGAAAATTATACAATGATAGCAGCTTAATATCTAACTTAAACGCTCGGTATCTGTGTTTGTTCTGTTTCTACCATTCAAAACCAAAGTAAAAGAGAATTATGAAATTTGAAAGCATATTTAAAACACCATAGTGCTGCTTATTAAAGCTTAGCAATGAAATAATTTAAGATACCAATTCATTGACTTCAGTGAAGACTGTAATTCCATCTAGCCTCTGTTCTAGGTCAGCCTTCACAAGGCATCAATGGTAACTCACTGTATTTTTAATTTCAGATAAATTTTATTGGCAATTCATGTAAATTGATGTAAATTTAGGGTTTCTTTTGTTAATTTCCATTAAGAGCAGAAATTT